ATTCCTTGGGGGTCAGAGGACCTGCATTCTAAAACTAGCTTTGCTATGTAGTATTTTACTACCTGAGTGACCTTGCACAAATCATTTACAATGTGTGGACCTTTGTTTCATCATCTGTGAAATGAAGGGGTTCCAGTAGATGATATCTAAACTATAGCTATGTTTTTTTACTTTAATAGGCTTGGTATTCCAAAACATAAATTCATCCTCTCCCAACACTCAACATAACTAATATATGTTTTCCTCTATGGTAATGAATCTAAGATCTTGTGAATTTGGTAAAGCTTCATGAGATATTAAAGGGATATGAAACATCTTTCTCCATATATCAGACATTGATTTTTTTTCCTGCATTTTAAATATTCTGGCAAAAACCACTTCTTACCAAGCAATGATCATGCCAAGAAAGCTTTCAACAATCAGTATTTGATACCGTTAAAAGCCCAAGAAAGAGACTGCAGTTGTTTTGTTTTTTAATGCCCACAAAATTTTAATAATTGTGTTTTGGAATGATGGTAATTGCCGAATAAAAGCCTGCTAAATCAAAAGAATTTAATCATTACTGTTTTGTTTTGCCTTTTAAAAAAAATTCTAATTATCTTGGAAATTGTAAAGGAGAACCAAAACAAAAGCAGAGACATTTAAGATCATTTTTGACATTAGATCATATGGTAATCTTTTTTTTTTTTACAATGGCTTTCATTTTGATATTGGAACCTCTAAAACAAGGTTGATAAACAAAAACCTCAAACAAATATCTACCCATTGAATCACTGGACATCTGTGGGTGGTCTATTTGTTCCTCTTCTTTACAGTATTAGTTTTCTAAATCAAAAGTTTCAATGGAAAAGGACTATAATAATAATGAAAAAAAAACCTCTAGGCAGAAAATTCTTGCACTTCCACTTTGCTAATGATGTTTATTAGAAAGGACCTCTAGTAATAATTAGAATAAGTAGAATGAGACTAATGCCTGGGATCCATAAAATGGATACTCTATACAAATAGTGACTAAATGACTCAGGGCTACTTGGCAACTCAAGAAACCCACATCATACGCCATGTGAAGCCTGCTATGCACACATCATTGGTTTGGTATGATGAAGTGTGGAGCTAATATGTGTCAGTATCTCTCTTTACCTTACTGACAAATAGTCAAATCCACAGTGACTTCTACTTGGGATGAGGCAAGCAGTTTCCTTGTTTTGCTCATATGGATCACGTGTGATCTGCTAGGAATGCAAAGCAGGTGCTCTATTAATTCTCAATGACCCTGTGTCATCCAGTACTAGGAATTGCACCTGAGATGCCATGGCTACTTGAAATGACATGTTTCCCGGGATCTAGATGCTCCAGTTGGCTAGGAGGGAGGCTTCTAAAGAGCTGAGTGTGCTGCTATCCATAGTCTGATCTGTCAAGTTAACTCAAGTTAACAAGCATTTATTAAGCAACAATTATATGCCAGACACTATGCTAAGCACTGGGGATACAAGGAAAGACAAAGAAAAAATAGTCCTTTCTCTCAAGGAACTCATAATCTAATGGGGGTGAAAATGGAAAAACAATTATGTACAAATAAGACATATACAGGATGAATTTTTTTGGCAGGGTGGGTAGTATGTGGAAGGCAGCCAGGTGGCTCAGTAGATAGAGCACTGGGTTTGGAGTCAATAAGACCTGAGTTCAAATCCAGCCTCAGACATTTACTAGTTGTGGGACCCTGGACAAGTTACTTAACCTCTGTTTGCCTTAATCCAATGGGGAAGGAAATGGCAATCCACTCCAGTACCTTTGTCAAGAAAACCTCATGGGGGCAGCTAGGTGGCCCAGAGGATAGAACACCGGCCCAGGATTCAGGAGGACCCGACTTTAAATCCAGCCTCAGACACATAACACTTACTAGCTTTGTGACCCTGAGCAAGTCACTTAACCCCATTGCCTAGGCCCCCCCTCCCCCCCCAAAAAAAGAAAACCTCATGGACAGTATTGTCACGCTATGGTCCATGGGGTCATGAAGAGTCAGTCACAACTGAACAATGACAGCAGTAGTATATGGAAGGGGGGATGCTAGGACAAAGAATTAACTCAACTTAGTTTCCTTTTCTTTCAAATGGGAATGCTACCATGATGAACGCTAGGTCCAAATGCTACTTGGGAATTACCTGAATATTTACTTGTTCTGGAGGGAGTAAGAATAAGAACTTCAGAATCCTAAAAAATAAAATAAAACAAAAACTTTAGGTTTTTCTTTGAAAATTAACTATTCTAACATACTCTAATATTTGTACTCTTCTTCTTGCCTGTAGTAGGGGTGGGGGATTTTTAAAAAAAATTTTGCTAGTCATATTACCTCATGTTTTAGTTAAATTGAGTGCTTCTTATGAAAAGCACAAGTAGGAAGAGATTGGTCATAGCAAAAAACCCAATCATTATCTTTTAAAAATAGCACCTTTCTTTCTCAGAGCTCACACACTATTAGGATGGACCCTATAATCAAAAGCTTGCTCGGACACATTCTGAAAGAACACTTCATCATCTTGTTGTCTCCATAGAACATTATCCAAACCATTAGTACTGGGCACTTTATGTGATTCTTTATAATGTTAACCAACCAATCTCAATTAACCTTTCTTCACTTTTGGTATAGATGGCAAACTTTGGCATTGTCGTGTTGTGGAAAGAAACTGGTTCCAAAGTTAAAGGTTCTTTGTTCATGAGCTAACCATTGCTGTGTATTAATAATTTGTATGACTTTAGGCAAGATCTTTTCCCTTCCTTGCCACTCAGTTATATCATTTTTATTAGGAGAGGGTTGGACCATATGATCAATCAGCACAAATTAAGTGCTTACTCTATACTGGGATGGGCATCATGCTAAGATCTGTCTTTTCCAGATCTGAATCCCATGAGTCTCTGACATATTCAGATCCAATTCTAGACAATACTGATCTTTTCAAGCTGTAGACTTCAACTCTTCTGGGAGGTTTATGTTAACTTGGGTTTTTTTTCCATGTGTGCTATCTTCCCACTTGGTGTTCAAGTTCCCCAACCCCCCTAACCCCTATTGTTTGCTTTACCTAGCATCACAGGCCTCCTCATCTCAAAAGATGCTTGTGCAATTGTTCTTCTTTGTCCTTTGTTTTTCTGAAGAGGACCAATGACATCACAGGGAGGATATATTGACTCCAGCGTGAATTACATTTCAGTGAAGCAGAGTTGTACAAAGTCATCGGCCTTAGTCTCTTTACCAGAGTCCAGTGGCAGGACAGAAGCTGGGCCTGGGGACGGCCCAGCATTCAGTGTCTTGACATCTTCGACATCTGACCAAGCTCTGAGTGCTCCACAGCACCTGCCTCTGCCACCTTCCTGGCCTTTGGAACAAATTGTGCTCTTCCCCGGCCAGGCGAAGCCTTCATATGCTTGGGGTAGACATCCCCTTAACCCACAGCAGGTTTGAGGCCTTTGGCAGAGTACAAGCCAGATTGACAGGAAATTATATGTACACAGAAAAATTAATAAAAACTAAAGAACAGGGAAAGAGGCTCTGAACCTGGGGATTGTGAACTTGTTTTAAAATATATACATATACACATATGTGTGTGACTATATTTCCATATAACTAGTTTCCTATGCATTTTATTTTGTTCATTAAAAAACTTTATTCTGAGAAAATCATATACTTTACCAGAATGTCAAAGGGATCCAGGAGACAGAAAAAGTTAGGGATCCTTGAAAGAGATATCCTGAGGTCCCTTCCAATTTTAAATTCTGGGGCCCCAAGGATTTAAATTCCTGATCCTATATTTATTAGCTGAGGTGGTTGAAGAAAGTTACATGACCTTCCTGAGCCTCAGTATTCCCATCCGTAAAATGGGGATGATAATGTACGATTGACTTTAAAGTGTCACACAAGCAATTTTGGTTCCCTTTTCCTTTTTTCTTTTTTCCTTTTTTTTTTTTTGGGAGGGGGAACAGAGAAAAAACAAGTAGTCATCTTCAGGTTTGTGGATGTTGGAGACAAATGAGGAATGTCAGCGTTACTTCCCAAAGCCCAAATAGTGGCTTCCCCATGAGATCACCCTTCATCTACTTTGTATACATTTTATATGTATTTCTTTAGTTTCTTCTTGTGGCCTCCATTAGAATGTATGTAAGCTCCTAGAAGGCAGAGGCTGCGCTTGTGTTTGTTATCAAAGCAACGCTATAAATGCTATTTATTCATCATCATCATTAATGGTATTATTATTAGAGAGCATCGTAGGCCCTATGTAAATGTTAGCATTGTTATTTTGTCATCCCCAGCGCTCAGCCCAGTGCCTGGCACACAGCAGGTGCTGCAGACACGTTTTTGTTGTTATTGTTCTGTTGTCTTCTGTCTCTTGGCAGAGATACCGGAGAGGTTTGCCATTTCCTTCTCCAGCTCATTCGACAGATGAGGAAACTGAGGCAAACAGTACTGGTGCCTCGCCTGGGCTCACCCAGCTTCGGGCTCGGGCACGGGAGTCTGGTTGCCTCCAGCCTGGGGCTCGGTCCTGCGTGCCGCCCAGCTGCCCTGCACAAACAGCAGCGATTACGCGTCAGCATTCTGGTTACTGTTACCAGTCTTGTTAGTGTTACTATACCCAGCGCTCGGCGCAAGACCTGCCCGAGGTGATCGCTAAGCGCAACCTTGGACCGCGTACGGCCCCGACCCCGGGACACAGACCACTCCCCAGCCCAGGGAGTTTGGCGGTGGGCCTGGAGGGCGGGGGCGGGGCGACCCAGCACTGCCAGTGGGCCCCGCCCGACGCGATCACTACACACCTATTCAGCGCCCCTCCTCCCCCGCCGCGAGCTAATGGCCGGCCGAGTGAAGCCCATGCCCAGGGCGCATGCGCACTGGCCTCCCGAGCTGTGCAGGCGCAGGCGCACAACCGCCTCCTGCTCCCAGCTCGCGTTCCGCCACGCTCGCTATGGCGGCCCCGAGGACCTCCCGCTAGCCCCGCCCCTCTGTGACGCGCCGGGGGTCACCTGACCCGGCTGCGGGGCTTCGGGGACAGAAGGGAAGTCGTTGCGGCCGGAGGGGCACCTCAGAAGCTTCCGTCTCCGTCTCCGCCGTCGCCTCCTCGGTCTCCGCCGCCAGAGCTCTCGTCGCCCCCGGGCCCGTCGGAGCCGTCGAAGCCCGCTCCCCCTCCCCGACCCTCCCCTGCCCCGCACGATGCCTTCGGAGAAGACCTTCAAGCAGCGCCGTACCTTCGGTAGGTCCCGCCGCGGCCGCGGCCCTGGAGCCGGGAGGCCTAGGGCGGGGGGGGACGCGGCGGGACCCCAGGCCGCGACCAGAGCCGGTTCGGCTCCCTCCTCACTCCTCCCCGGGCCCCGGCCGCCGGGGTCTCGGCCCCTGCCCGGCCCGGGCTCCTTCCACCACCGGGGCTTCTCCCTCGGAAGTCTTGAATTTCCCTTCGCCCTCTCCCCGCCCCTCCCCCAGAAACGGCCGTTTCCTTGGAGCTTGGAAGCTCGGGGGACCCCGGGCCGGGGCTGCACGGCCTCGGAGGGCTCTGGGAGAGCCGGGGTCGCCCCCGACGGAGACCCCTCTGGGGGAGGGGGCGGGGGGAGGGGACCGCGTTTTAGGCTTCTCCTTTTGAATCGTTCCCCGAGTCCAGCCCCGGGTGTGGGGGGGGATTCGGCCCGGCGGCCGTGGGGGTCGTGGCCGACGGATGCGAGCCCTCCGGGCCTAGTGCCGGGCTCTGCCGGGGTGGGAAGTTGACAAAGAAAGCCGAGTCGGGGCGTGGACGGGGCGCACTGGGAGCCGGCTCGGGCTAGCCCCGAGGGTCCGGGAGTGTCCCGGGCTGTGGGGGGTCTGGGGGGCCCGGGGACTCGCCTCCTTTCCCGTTTAGTGGCCCGGAGCGGCTCTTGGTTGGCTATTAACGGTTCTGGTCTTCAGCCCGGCCCCCTTCTATTCGTTGTGCTGACTGGGGACTTGGTGTGGCACTTCGTTAGCGGAGGGCTTGGCACCTTCGGGTTACCTAGAAGGAGAGGTGTCGCACCGGCCGCGGAACTCCTCTCCCAGTGTGATCGGGAGATATTGGAACAAAATAAATGAAAATACAGGACGTCTTAGAAGATGTTAATTTGTGGTTTTCTAAGTCAATCAGGCGGCTCCAGAGGCATCTGTTTCCATTTGAATTTTGACACCTCTGACCTCGGGGAGTGAGGTTAAGTGACTTGTCCATAAGCACACAGCTAGGCCTAGTGTTATGAAGGCCTTGCTCAAAAACTGAGGAACCGTTCTAAGAAACTTTCAATTTAGACTTTTGAGCAACCACAAATACAGGATGGTTTGGACCCCCTTTCAAGTTTTGTTTTACAGGTTAAATTTTCAACAGGTTTCAACAGGTTTTTTGTTCCTTATAAGTTAACTAGTATCTTAATAAAGTGGCAGGAATATCATAAAGATATCAGTCTTTTGAGTTGGTAAGAGTAACAGCGGATGAAATACTGTGAAAGTTGAAATAAACCCTTTGTTTTGGTCAGTGGTTGTTACCTACCAAAGGTTGCTTTGTTGTGAAAGTACTGTGGTGGCTCTTGTGCCATTTTAAAACGAGAATCCTTAAACACACAGCCCTGCAGGCTATATTTTCTCTTTGTGTCTGAAATTGCGCTCCTATTTTTAGCTCCCATAGTAACTTAAATCATCCATACTAGTTTCCCTGCAGATCAGAGTAGGACTGGAAATCATATTTTAGTTCTCCAGGGTTTTAAAAATGAAAAGTCTTGATAACAGTGTTTGCTATAATAGATAATAATGGTAGTTGGTCTTTTTTGAGTGAGGCACTTTGTGCCATAAACAAGAGGAGGCAGTGCTTAATATAAAATGTATATGGATCCTTTATTACCACCTTAGGTTGTAAAGCTTCTGGGTGGGGGGAGGGGGTTTTTATTGTTTGGTTTTGCCTTTGTATCTATCCCCAACACTTAGCCCCACATCTGGTACTTAGTAGGAGCTTAATAAGTGCTTGTTTGCTGTCTGACCTTGAAGGTCACCTCTTCTGGTAACAGCTGGAAGACCTCTTCAGTGTTCTTTCAGCTACACAGGAAAGTGAATTTCAGTATGTCCACTTTTGTCAACTATGGTTTTGAAGAGTCAGGAAAAAGTTCAGCATTCAGTTGATGATTACACATCCTATTAAAAAGCATTTAATTTTTTTGTGCTTGGAGCACAAAACAAAACTTTACCTTCTAATTGTAGTCTGCTAAGCCCCAAACTTCACCTAAAAGAGGATTGTGAGTTAGCAGGGTCAACACATGACTTCGTTAGAAATTATCTTCATTGACTTTAATGAGGTATTAGCACTCAGGAGAAAAAATCTTCAGAATGACAGATATATTCTTTGTTTGGCTTCAAGCCACTTCTGTGCCCCCCCCCTTTTTTTTATTATGACCTGTTCCATTGGGGCTGAGAGCCTCTTGCAAGAAAAGCCAGCAGATTTCATCCACCCTCTTCTGGGTGGAACTGAAAACGTCAGCAGGTCTTGGCTCTCAAGTCTCTGCTTTCCCATTCTCCTGTCAGCAGTCACTCACAGGTATTAAATTTATCCAGGACATCAGCCAAACAGTTACTACTGCAACTCATGCTGTCAAAAGCAGTCTTCTTATTTACAAATCAGATCAGATGAGTGTAGCACACATACATGGAGGCTGTGGAACTTCTGTCCATTTGTAATAGTCTTAGGTTAGTCTTGTGATCTGGGCATGCTAAAACATACTGATGGCTGAATTTGCTTTAGTTGGAAATAATTTGTATACGTCTCAGCTCCCTTTTACTGTGTAAGAGCAGGTTTGTTCCGTAGCTCATTTTTCTGGAACTTTTTAAAAGGCTCTGCTAATAGCTTTCTGTTTGAAGTATCAAATATCACTTAATGGCTAATGCTTTGCCTTAACCCTGATGGTGCTAAATTTGAATCCAAGGGCTGATAATTTTGTGGGATTTGTAACTGTCAGGCTCATAGTAAATTGATTCCTCAACTAGAAGAATCTTCTAGAGCCCAATACACTTAAGTGCAGACTATTGAACTCAGATTGATTTGCTTTCTCTATAAGTGGATGAGATTAATGCAGATAGGAAACTGGTGGACAGAACCACTGATATTCTGTACCTTTATGGTTAACCAGGTAGCAGAACATGGGCCAAAAGGATGTAAAAACAAAAATTTCACTTTGTCAGTAGCTCAAATTATATTATTTTCGTGAAGATCACAAACCCCACATTTAAACCACCAGGGGTTTTGAATTGGTTATCTGCTGGTTTAGCTGTGTGCAAATGTTTTCTAAGAATAATTTACCTGATAAATAATTTGATTTGATAAATTGTACATGGGACCAACAAATTTGTATTAAATCACTTACACTTATTGATTGCATATTTAGTGGGAAATGTGGGTTTCTGGTTCAGGGTCAACAAGGGTCTTTTAGGTGGGGAGTGAGATGGCTGCCAAGACTAGTAAACAGTACTCGAATCTGAGCTATCATCTAGTCATGTTCTGGACATAGATTCCTTCTAGCAAGTGACTTTTTATAGACAGGATCTTGGAAAACACTTGGGGTGTGGTTAAGCAGAAAGAGCCTTGGATTTGCAGAGAACCTGGGTTTGAACGTTGGCTCTTCTAGTGACCTTGGATAAGATATGTGACCCATGGAGACCTTGGATAAGATATGTCTTTGATCTTGTAAAATCAAAGCATGGACTAGAGGATCTCTAAAGCTCCATTTATCTCTAAATCTATGATCCTAATAGGGAGTATCTACCTAGTGAAATTAAGTGGTAACAAAGCTTTGTATAATTACATTTCATTTCATTTGAAATGTGCTAGGAGAGTTTAAAGGAAACGTGCCTTGAATCCTTTGTAAAAGAAATCTTTGTAATATGAATAACTGTTCTCTGATTTATCTGGTAGTAGATTTAAAGGTAGTTGGGCTTTTTGAAAGGGAAACTACAGAACAACACTTGTTAAGGATCATTTGGCTGAATTTTTGTTAAAGGAATCATGGAACTTAGAGGGCATAGTATCCACTTGCAGAAAAACATTCTATTCTGTAAAGGATCCATTGAAAACCAAAAGAAGAAAAACCTCACAACGTAAAAAGGAGGTAGCAAACATGTGCCCTTACTATTAGGCCCATTTTCTTATTTAATTTAGAGCTTCCTTGATTGCATTTCTGTCCTGGACAGTCTTAGCTTTGTTGCTGATCAAGTGAACAGGGCATTGATTGATAAGGATAAGTGAGTCTGGGAAGGTGAGTTCCTAGTTCTGTTACTCGATCATCTTGAGGAAGTCACTCCTGTACAATGGGGATTAGTTATTTCTGCCTCTTATTTATGTTAGCATTACAAAGTATTAAATAAAAAAAGCTGATGGAGTTGTGAACTGATCCAACCATTCTGGAGAGCAGTTTGGAACTATGCCCAAAAGGCTTTGTAAAACTGTGCATGACCTTTGACCAAGCAATATACTGCTAGGTCTATATCTCAAAAAAACATCCAGAAAAAGGGAAAAGGACCTATTTGTACAAAAATATAGCAGCTTTTTTTTTGTGGTGGCTAAGAATTGGAAATCAGAGGGATGCTCATCAGTTGGGGAATGGCTAAACAACCTGTGGTATATAATGTAATAGAATGTTATTGTTCTGTCAGGATGATTTCAGAAAAACTTGTTAAGACTTGCATGAACTCATGCTGAGTGAAGTGAGCAGAACCAGGAGAACACCGTACATAGTAACAGCCACATTGTGGCAGTGGAGAACTGTGAATGATTTGGCTATTCTCAGCAATACAATGATCCAAGACAATCCCAAAGGACTAATGATGAAAGATACTATTCACCTCCAAAGAAAGAAGTGATGTTAACTGAATATAGACTGAAACATGCTGTTTATCACTTTCTTTCATTTTAAAGATTTTATTCGAGTCTTCTTGTAAGAAATGACTAATATGGAAATATTTTATATGATTGCATTTGTATAACATATATGTCTGATTGCTTACTGTCTCAGGGAGTGGGAAGGGGAGAGGAGGGATAGAATTTAGAACTTGAAACTTTAAATAAAAATGTTAAAAAAAGAATTGAAGGGAAAAAAAAACCCCAAAACTTACCACAGCATGCATTCTTAGCCCCATGGAAAACAAAGATGTGAAAGCCTTGACATAAAAATGTCCAATTTCAAAATGATTGAAATAATACAGCTACTGGCCCTCTTTCCCCCCCTTTTAACCAACCAACTAAACCTCCAAACTGCACCCTGAAGCCTTTTGTAACCATTCAGAATATATTGGGTACTTTTAAGAGAAACCTGTGAGTTCATAATGGAGAGCAGGGGGAGATCACTGGGACATCCTAGGCCAGGAAACTAGCTTTAAAAACACACAGACTCCCAGAAATACCTTTGGCTATTTCCTTGCTCCATAAGAATTTTCTTTTTTTCTTAAGTCTAACAATTAGAGAAACTTGTGGCTATAACCAACATCCTTTTTTAAGTGCCTCTTGGAGAATTATTGGACTATCGGCTATTCAGACATTGAATTAGGAGGACAGCCATTTGGCCATCTAAACTGGGAATGAGACCACTGATTGAGGAATATGGAGAATTGGTAATTTTGGGGTGTGGACTATGCTGAAGTAGGACAAAGATAGGGAAGGACGTCAAATACAGACTGCCTGTGTTTTAAGATGGGTGTAGAGAGTGCTTTCCCCCTTCTATTTTATGGCCTCTTGCCTCTTGCTGAGGATCAAAAAGTGCAGTAGGTTAGCGGTATTCACACTAGGCCTTGGCCGTATTTTGGGTTAAAAGGTTTTTGTGAGCTAGCCTAGTATTCTTTGGGAGAAAGTACATTAAGTTCCAAGGGACACTTTTGGAACATTCATTCATAAGTCAAGACTGCTAGTAACATGTAAAAAAGTAGATTGACGATGGTAATATGAGATTTTAAGAGATTACATGATGAATGTCCTTGAGTCAAGTGCTCTTTCTACTCTTGAATGCTTCAGAGGTGGTGCCCCAAGCCTGACAGTTGTGTCTGAGATCAGGGCTTACATGTTGATATCCACTTTATTGCTTAGCCCAGGGTTGAGGACATAGTAGGCATAAAAATAAATACTTGACTAAATTAAGGAGGATAATTTGCTCATGGCAAATGCACACATTTTGCTTTGGCCTCTTAATTTAACTACTGGACAGAACTATTTAAAACCCAAGCATTGATTAGCTTCTTTATGCCTTTCTTTCTCCTAAAAGATTTACCTGTTTTTCTTAAGGGCTGCTTATTAAAAAACAAAACTAGAAACAGCAGGAGAAAATTTCTTTGAACTTCTATGAAATTTAGAAGGGATTCTTCTTGAGATAGGATTTACTACAATTGTCATTTTACTGGAACACTGAGCACTACAGGGAGATCGACTGGTCTGGGGTTTGGATGGTTTTGCTTTTGTGTACTACCTTTGGAGGACAGGTACTTGGCCTGTCTCTTTTGTCGCTACTTACCCTGCCTCTCTCCATATGCCAGATGTATAGGTTGTTGGAATAGATGTCTGAATACTAGGATTTTGCACTGCCATTGTACAGAACAGATGGGGACACTGAATTTCAGGACTAGGCCATGTGTGGGTATGATTAATGACAAAGAGTTTTAACTATATACCTTGAATTTGAGGGCCATCACTTAATTCTAATGGTTTTTATTTCCTTTGCAGAACAAAGAGTAGAAGATGTGAGACTTATTCGTGAGCAGCATCCTACCAAGATACCGGTAGGTAAAGTTTATTTGTTATCGAGGAAAGAATGCTTTTTCAAAGTTGTGGTCTAGATGGAATTTATCAGAGACTTACCATGTATTCTGACAGACATGTTAATATCTCATAGTTGTAAATTTTTTAATTTTTAGAGAATCATCTCCCATTAATATAGTAATGTTTGTTTCATTGTTCACTTCTGGAGTTTCAGGGTGTAGGAGCTATGATTATCATAAAGAGAAGAGGGCCAGCACTGTTAGACTGTTCAAGTGAGGTGTGGACTTGAACGTGATTAGCATTAGGGCTTCTACTTCAAACTGCTTTTTAAATTGTTCTCTTCCCTTTCAATAGAAGCAGCTTATATTGAGTTTCCTTTTAGGAGATAAAGAAAAGGCATTGTTTTATATCCTATAGGTTTTAGCGGAGGGGTTCTTAAGGCACAGTAAAGCAGCATCTTTAGGCTGGCTGATGATCCACAAATCCCCCCTGGACTGCCTTGCTTGCTGCTGTGTTCAGAAAAAGAAAACTAGCAAAACCTTTTGGGCAGTACCCTTTGGCCTTATTGGTTGCTTTACTAATTTGTTTCATGCAGCAAGAGGGCTAGTGAGAAGGAAGCTTAATAAATTTGGGGGAAAGGGGATGGAGAGGGGAATTTTGATAGATTGGTCTTACCTTTCTGCCCAGTGAATTTCAGTCTTTTTTTTTCTTTAGTGCTGTGAACCTCCCCCAACAAATCCTGCCCTTAATTATTTTATATTAATTTGCAGAACACTGGAGGATCTTTATGAGCAGTGGTCCCTTTCTCATTCTTAGTACTTACCAAGACAGTTGGATCTCTTAGTGAAAGAACTGGCAGATAAGACTGCTGGGCCACTGTTAGTGATCTTTAAAAGATTATGGAGAACAGGATTGGAAAAAGATAAGTGTTGCCCTATTTTCAAAAAGTGGGGGAGGGGGGAAAGGGGAAGGAGCCTGCAAACTCTGCTTATAGAATGTGAGCTTCTTGAGGGCAAGGATGATTTCACTGTTTTTGTATCCTTAGTTCCTAGCATGTAGTAGGTAGGTGCTGACTCAGTCTTTGTTGATGAATATACTCCTGTGAACTTAACTTAGATTCTTGGCACAATGGCCAAAAGTATTATTAAAGGGAGTAGTGCTTCAGAAGACTTTCATCCAGGATAGATTATGATGGACTAATTTCATGTCCTTTTTTGGATAGGTTTGCTAAACTGGCAGATTAGGGCACTTTTGTAGATTAGTTGCTGGAAGTGAAATCCACCTGACCTTGAAAGGTGTGGCACCCCCTTGATTTGGTCATTGTCCTATAGGCCAAGCTTTTCTGAGATTTATCTCCTGACTCAGGATGTTACCTTTCCAGTTGACCCTCTCTTCTCTTTCCTTGATGCCATGAAATGGACAGTTTGGCCTGACTTGATTTGTTTTAGATTCTGGGAAAAAAGTATTGATTGTTGGAAAAGAGCATTGATTTACTTTCTTTCTGCTTTTCTTAAGTGCAAGACTGTTTATTTAAAAAATAAAAAGCTAGACCAGTGCAGCAGGAGGAAACTGCTTGGAGCAATCTGTGACTTCGAAAGGATTCTTGTAGAGAGTAGACTAGCCATGGCTAATTGCCCAGATATGGAGATTGATTGTTCCTTAGGGCTTAGAGGCACTTTTTCCTCCATTCTGCTTCTGCTATGTCTGGGTCCTTAGATCGGGACCTTTCTCAACTCCTTTATATGCTAAATATACAGATATAAAGTATAGCCTTATTGCATTAACTGCAAGGTATTTTGGTTTATATTCCTTACAAAAAGCAGAGGCCCACTATGGAGAAGGATCTAGTTCCAGAATAACAAAATCGTTAATGAATTTCCTTCTAAAATAAAATACTTGAACAACAAATCAGTTAAGTATTTGAACAATGACTATGAAGGACTGAACCAGGAGGTGGTGACTTAACTTGTATTGTAGGGAAGACTAGAGCCAGTCAGCAGGTTTTTTTGGTGCTGTTCAAATTAGCTGTACAAGTTTTTCTGAAGTTTTGTGTGTATGATGGAAAAAGTCCACACTCCCACAATAGGGAAGCACACACATACTCTAATAAGGACCTGTTTATATTGTTGTGAATACTCATTCATTTCTTTGAATGAAACCCTTCTGCTACATTTAGAATTTTTAGCGTCTTGTTAAATGAAAGAGTGTTTGGAGTTCCTTAAGAAGAGAATGTTAGTCATTATTTTGACTTAGCTTAAGCCATGATAATATCCATGTGTTCTATCCTTGACAATAGAATAGGTAACAGATGTGTTACAGGCATTAATCTTTTACTTCACAAAGTTATAAACATAGAAGGCATTTTTGGGCATATATTAGAGCAACTGTACTACAGTTCTCTTTTTAAAACATTTTTTCTGTACTTTTTTCCTCCTCTAGGTGATAATAGAAAGATACAAGGGTGAGAAACAACTTCCTGTACTGGATAAAACCAAATTCCTTGTACCAGATCATGTCAACATGAGTGAGCTAATCAAAATAATTAGGTATTCAGTAATCCTTTTACATATTCTTTAAATGCTAGATGGTTAAGATTCAAATAGGAGCTCTCTTGCTAGTTTTCTGATTACAGACATTTACAATTTCCTAATGTTTGCAAAGTTGATTTTTAAAAGTTTGACAACACAAGGGAAAAAGTAATGAAGGCTAGGTAGAAGCTTTAAGACTAAAAGTGGGGGAAATTGCTTCCTAGAGTTAACAGATAATGTGTTGATAAACAAGAATTGACTAGCTTTGGGCCATAAAAATGCATGTTAGAGAGTCTGCTAGGCTGTAGACAGTGTTTTAGTGTTTTCTGTGTTATCTCCCTTCCCCCCCAGCTACCCATTTATCAGAATGACAGCTAGAATTTAGAAGTATTTTAATTTAGAGGAGTGGCCTCAAATGTAAATAGAAATGGAGAGCCACAAATTTATACATGAGGATCCTGTGGGCTGCATATTGACTTAGTTTTGAAATGTAATGTTATCTATATATCTGTTGCATTTTATTTGTTTTTGGTAAGTTAATTCCCAATTACATTTTAATCTGATTTGCACCACACTGGTTTGGAAGTGTTGTGGGCTACATGTTTAACACCTGGTTTGGGGAACCTAGATTTAGAGTTATCTAAAGACCCTGAAAATTCTTAATGTTTAAATCAGCCTTCCTCCTTCTCTTTCAATAGAAGGCGCCTACAGCTGAATGCTAATCAAGCTTTCTTCCTGTTGGTGAATGGACACAGCATGGTGAGCGTTTCAACACCTATTTCTGAAGTGTATGAAAGCGAGAAGGATGAAGATGGATTCTTGTATATGGTATATGCCTCTCAGGAGACATTTGGAAAATCTTCAGTGTAAGACCTAGTACAAAGCTTCTATACTAGAATTTTTTAAGCCCTCACCCAGGAAAAAAGGGATGTTACCAACTGAGATTGTTCAGTTCATCTAATCACAGTTCACCAAAATAGAAATACTACCACCTTAGGGGTTTTTAGTAAGTTGTCTCTTGTATTACATGCATATGTAATAATACATGTTCAATTCCAAAAGCATATACAGTACAACTTTGGAAAACTCCTGTTTCATCTTAGGATATCTTGGTTTTAAGTTTTAGGTTTAGAAACATACCTTGCATTCTAAGTTGCCAATAAAATGGGACATTTGAATTGCTGTAGTGACTTTTTTTAAAAATAGGAATTTCAGTTCCAGTGGTAACGTTTTAAGCATTTAATGAAACAAGCCTTTGTTCATGGAAACTGCTAATTTTTATAGGAACATTTCTCTTTAACTGTGTATCTTTAAGTAGCCTTGTCAAATGTCATATCTATTTTTTTAAAGTCCATTTACCATCAGTGGTTGCAGCAAAACAGGGTAAATGGGGGGGCAAAAAAGTCTAGCTTATTCTGGAATGGATGCATAGATTCCAATTTAGTAAACCACCGACTTCCTTGCTGTCACTTATTTGTTTTCTGTATAGTCATACAGAGAAACACCATGGATTCTATGGGTAAACTGAATGATTTCTTTTAAATGCTTGGCTTCCAAAAAGTTCCGGAGAACAGAGGGATGGCATTTCTTATATTACCGATTTGCTCTGATTTAGAGACTCTCAAACCAGTTCACTAAACAGTTGCACCAGAATAAGTCTTTGCTGATGCAGTTAGAAATTACATCCTAGAACTTTGGAGCATTAAAATTCATTTTGCACTCCCTTGACCTTTTGGGTTAAGTTTGTAGTCTGATTTGTTATGTTTCAAGTGGAAAAAGTAACTGCTTCACTAAAATACTTTATTAAAATTTTAACTGTAAGCATACTTCAGCTATCACTGTTAATCATAAAAACTCCTCCAACCAGTTTACGTGCATGTCATTTTGTAAAGGAGAATGTAGCAAAGGGGTAAAAGCTGCTTTCAACAACGTCATTTTATTTAATATCTTGAACAAAGGACTATAAGTGCTTCCTGCTACTTGCATGGGGTTGACAACTTATTTTCATGGAGTGTCACAAAAAGTTCATTGTTACACCAGTTGAGCTGAAGTATGTATGTAGCAAGCAGATCAGCAGAAATTTCCCTTGTATATTTAGATGTGTGTGAAATATCTACAACTGTTAGTGAAAGTTATGTACTATAATGGAGAAAAGCAATATTACTGCACCTTGGCACTATAGTTAATAAATGTATACAACTTGTTTGACTTTGTTCACCTTCTGCATGCATCTGTCCATAGTGCTAAATTTTCATGAGTGTATTTTTACTGCATTGTAAATTCTTAATCAACCTGTCTTGTTAGGTTGTATAAGATGTTCATGTTTAACAAAACACCTGACCATCAATCTTGTAATTGCTGTGTGATCAGTAAGGTTCCTGTAAGATATGTTGCTTTTTTAATTTAATACAGTGCGGATAGGGATGAATTATATCCCAAATTAACCTGAGTGGTAGTTTTATTTCTAGGATGTTTAAAACAAGTAAATTTTGATCAGGCAGGGTTAAAAAAAAAAACAGCAACAACCAATGCTCAGAACTAAAAATCCAATGTCACATACTGTCCAAAATGTAGCATTTTCAACAAATATGTAAAAAGTATAAATCCTTTGAGCTGGATGCAGGATCCAGGGTAGTTAATGACAACTAAAAGTATTAAGGGATCACTGCAGTTTATGAAATAGCAAAACAGTGGGGATCGACTGTAGTAATGGGGTAGGGATGACACTGATAAAGGTAATTGAGGGAAAAAAAGCAGAGGGAGAGAAGGGAGGCTAGGTACACATGAGGAGCACCACTGCCGCTCTTCTCCAAGCCAATTCGAAATGAGAAAATGGCTAATAGTGGTCAGTGGAAAATCTGGAACAGGTTCTAGTAACCTAGTAGGACATACTGTTTTCTAAAAATCAGTAGAAGAAAGTTCAAAACAGTTTTAGCCCAGCTTTAACTGAGAGCCAGAAAACTGTCTGTTCTACAAAGGTTAAGCACAGGACGTGAGCTTCCTGATTACGCTGTTTCTGAGCTTGCCTGTCCGTAGTAAATAAGTAGCATAAGGGTACACGGACTTCTGGATTCCATACTGATGATGCCTCGTATGTTACACTCCCATAATGTTCCAGCCTAATTCTATCAGCCCTTGAAATCTGGTGAGACTGGCCCTTTGCTAAAAAGTCTCCAGAAGCAGCATGAGCTGCTGTACATCTGAGTTTCCTTTTTTTCCACTGGTATTTACTAAGAGGGTTTTCTGATGGAAACACATACCAAATACAATAAGTAGGATTTAAGATGTTAGGGTAAAAGATTTTCCAAGGCATTTGAGGGTTTTTCTTTTCTACTGCTGCTTCTTAGAAAACTTGGACTGTTTCATTTCCCATTTTCATGAAAGGCTGTTAACATTCATTAATCATAAGCTTCTGGAGGGCAAACCCTTCTTTGCTGTAGTGTTTGTATTCCTCCTCAGTGCTGTTACTTTACACGTTAAATGAACAAGCAGCAGCAGCAGGCAACATCTCAAGGGGGAGGGGAAGGAGGAAGACTACAAAGTAATTTGTGGTTTGCTGCATGTCATAAAAATATGTCATAAATAGCCTTTCCTTGAGGCAAGGGACCGACCACATATACACATTGGCCTTAAGCCATCTTAGGTCAACTAGAGTGATAATTTAGCTAATATGTATCTCTAGATTTCAAAGACGTTCTAGTAGGAACCCTGTTGAAAATTGAATGCCTGTTAATTACCATTCACTTCCAAATGTGAGGAAGGAAAAGAGGGAAAGTTGTTCTTCAACCTGAAGAGTTTTTCTGAAATGTCTTTTCTCAAAATGACAAGATCTAATTCAATGGCAAACTAAGCCTGTTTTTAATTTTTATTTTCAGTACATTAAATTTACTCATAAAAACATTCTAAAAATGTACAATTTTTCCTTTTTAACAAAGTATAATAAAACATAAAAACCCCAATAACAGAATACTTGACATTTACAATTCAAAATCAAATTAGCGGAATATTAAATATTTACAAAACTATATTTTTAAAAAATATTTATAAAGTTACATGCATTTTGTAGAATTGTGACAAAATAATGGCTCAAAAATGGGATAATTTTCCTTCATTCCTAACATAAAATTATGTCCGAGAGTCTGAAGTTTAACTTGTACTTGAGTACATAAGGTTTGCTTTCACATTCAGTACCAAATACCTTTCGCTATTTGTGTATGAACTTAAAAACATGTAGAAAATTTGATGAGGGCTGTTAACAATACAAGTTTTTATGTGGTTATTATATCTGGGGATTGATTACCTTTGCCCCACTCCCTCAAAGTTAATATTGTAGTAACATTTACCTTTGGCCTCAACCAGCACAGTATATATACACATATATATACACACACACATACGTGTGTGTACATAGATACATATATATGAATATTGCAAGTGTTAAACAGTTCAATATGCTCATTTTCATTAAGACCCTTGGGATTTTTTTTTAAACAATTAAGCCTTCCTTCAGAATCCATGGCTTTCAATGTAAACTATTTGATTTGTTCTTTGGGACTAATCCACAGTGAACAACTATGGACAACAAAACTCACTTATGCAACAAGGATTATTTTTCTTGGTGGAAGTTGAACAGGGGTATTTCCCCTTAATAATTAAGACTTTCCAACATATCAATGGCACCAGTTATATCAGTATGTAGAACTAACAAGGCAAAAAAAAAAGCCACTTATGCATCAGGAATGACAACAAAATGGCAGGGAACTATTCACAACCAAATTTTTGGCAGGTGCTTGCTAGTGATCCACTACGTTATAAAAAAATGAAGATTGGAAGCCTATATACTGTGCTCAGAAAGATTAATGACTCGATATAGCTGAGTGATATTTTGGTAAAGTTACTACTACTGTGCCTCAATACATACAATTTGTAGTGTAAATGAACCATGTTGACCTCTTGCAATAAAGGACCTAGAGTTCTAAATATTTAATAAAAAATACTGAACCTATTGCCTTCTATTAACATTCTGACTCCTAGAATCTTTTGTAGGTTACAGACAATGCTGGTTTTATTCCCAATATTTCTAATCAAGTTTTTTTTTCTTTTATAGAATTTGTAGAAGTGCTAGCTCCCGTGTACTTAGTACTCCTCAATAACTAGAAAGTTTTAACACTTTCCAGTTTTCTATACTACGATGAATTTAAAGTTAGAACATAAGGTAGTTAACTGTTCTTCCTTTAAAAAAAAAGTATTTAAATCGCTGTTTTATCCCACACTGTATTCTACTTCAACCTGTACATTCCACTACCCCCCGGCCCCCCTTGCCTTTTGGAGCAGAAAAGGGTCAGGGTGGGGTGGAGTAGGGTAGTGGTGCTTGAAGCTTCTTTAATACATGACAGACGTACACAAAGAAGTGGGCATGACCACCACCTACCTGGTTGTTTCAGCCACTCTGAGATTGAGACCACAATTTAAAGCAAGATACTAAGAATTTGAAAGGGTTAAAGATGATCTGTGCCTAAATAAGCAAATAAGACTTCTAATGAAATGTAAAAATGCTGTATGGGCTTATCTGTTTTTGGCTTCTTGATAGAAATTAATCGTAATACTGCTGGCAAATACTCTGAAGCCATAAAATATGGTAATTTGCTTTGGGAAAGCTCAAATACTGGTATTTTAACCATTTCTGCATTAAGAGTTCTTTCTGTTTTTACTCCTGAAATTTTCCTAAACTTAAAATGTCCTCATCAGACACAATGTACTGTAAACCCATTTTCGACCACAAGATTATCTTCTAACACACCTGCTATTGAACCAGTTTGGAAAACTGTCAGAACAATATGAGCTGCTCAACTTCTGAATTTTATATTTGCAAATCAAATAGTTTTTGTTTTAATTTTTTAAAGAACTGAATGAAAATACTTAAATATATTGGTTAATATGGACCAAACAAATCAGCATTAATGGTAACAGACATTTAACTCCCCAATATCATCCATTAAAAATACAACTTATGTAAATGAACTTTTTTTTTCTATTTTTGAGGCAGTTTCCAACAATGACACTGTTGAAAATAGGGTTTACTTAAATACAATTGAAACTTGAAGTATTTGTTTAAAAAAACCAAAAATGTTAAAAATTTGGCTTCCAGCACACATCTAGGCCACTGTACGAGGCCCTCAAAAATATTAAAATCGTAAACATCATTGAAAACTCATGTCTTCCTTTAACATAGATAGTATATATATAACATGACAAGTTGTTCCTACTGTCTAGAACTCTTTAAGGCAAAGTGTCAGTTCTCATCACTCTCATGTTTAAGTTTTATAGTTCCCCAAGAGATCCAATGAAACATCCTCAAAATCATTAGCAAACATCACAATTACTTCAATACTGTAATACGGTGTAGCATAAACAGAGCTGAAAATACAGAGGTCTGTGGCTTCTACATTGCATAGAAATAAGAAATTAAAATCTTGTATGTACTATTTTTTTCACAGATTCAAATAACACACCTTTTTGCTTTGGTTTCCATGAAGCTGGGAAACTGACCTCCAAAAATCTGAAACAAGTGTAGTATCACTGCCATTTCCTATTACAATGCCTCTACATTGGAACCAATTCTATGGTGTTCTGTTTTTGACCTGAGGCTGAAATCCCAATTTCAGAATGGGCTGAACATTTTGAAATTTTCACAAATACTTGATGGAAAACCCCTGGATAACAATGCTTTGCCTTCTCAGTACATAATGGTGGTAGAGGTTTTTAAACATTTAAGTCATATTTTAGCAGAAAATTACCTTTGTTCTCTAGTTCCTGGCTTTCAAACCAAGTGCTACCATTCCAATGGATAAAAATTTAGGAATCCATGGTGAATATAGTATTTGTCCACCTTGACAAAATTAAGTGCATTTTGTGGGGGCTCCTTCCAAGTCTTATCAATTCAACTGACAAGTTCTAGGTAGCGAACAGAATTAACTAGTCTAAAAGTAACAAAAGAGGTTGACAGGAAAACTTTAAAGTCTTTTGCTCATTAATTATGAAATTGTATTATTGTTGAAATATCTGTCTCAACACCTCTGAATCCTTTAGCAGTAAGCCTTGGGGTAGAAGTCAGTATTACATAAAATAACGGCTTGCAAAGTCTGCTAACAGTGTTCAGCATCAGGTTGGTTTCAAACTCATTTACAAAAGTAGTGTAGTTAATA